GGTGTCCGATTACTGGAGACTAAGGCCGACCGAGAAGACGAACCTCACCTGGGAAAGAATGCGGCGACAGGATGGCTGTCAGTCACTACAAGTCGACGAGAGGCGATGGGATGGCTGTCAGTCACGGCAAGCCGCCGAGAGGGGGCCATGGTGGAGGTGCTGCCGTCAGAGCCGCCGGTGAAGAGAGTTGCGCGTTTATGTGTGTGTAACGTGTGTACTATTTGTGTGTGTGTGTGAGAATTGTGTGTGAGAGATAGAGATCATGAGAGAGAGAGACAAATTTGTGCCACATGTTACGTGTGAGTTGGTATGTGTTGTGGTCCCACTTTTTGGATGTATTAAATTCCACACTATCCTTAATGAATGTATATTTTTGACATTATTTCAGCTATTTGATCATCCGATCCAATGGTCACGATGTATTCTTATTTCTTTCACTAATACTCTTTCTCACTTGAACCCAACCCTATGTGTATATATACATATAATTACTAACAAAGCATTCAATACTTTTTTTCCTGCCTTTTTTCGTTATAATCCTATGTTTTTTTACTTTATAGCAAATTTGTAATGATAGTAATCAATGAGAATATATATAATCAATTTGTAACATAATTTGAGCAACTATTTCGATTACAATTTAAAGCTTATTTAAAACCATAATACCATTAATAATTTAAGATACAAATTGCTATTACTAATAAGTTGACCTAAACCATTTTTTTTTTTAAATTTTAATATTCACCCCTTAAAATTCCATACTCAATTGTTGTAATAATAATTTCAATATTTTTTTTTATCTAATCAATTGGTCATATTCAACCAAAATTGCAAAAATTACATTATTGCAATCAATATAGAAATAAATATGTAAGTTGTACTATAATTTATTCATTATTACTAATAGTAAAATTTATAAGATGTGATGGGCTATATGACAAATTATATAATTTATAATTTTAATATTATATACACAACTCTTAAAACATTTTATTTGTATTTGTACATGTGTAACATATCAAATATTATCATGTCCATTTATTTATTGAGACACGAGACTATACACAATAGACCGGTCATCAAGAGTAAATAGACCAAAGAGGCCAGTCAACGTCAACTAATCACTAATCTTATCCGCTTATTAATTGTTAAACTTCCGCTTTCACATTTGGTAACCCAAAAGATAGCTCATCTTCAACTATTCTATCCCCTTCCTCATGAAGAAAAGCACCGAAAAAAAAAGAGACGAACAGTCGAATAAATTCACAGTTTTACATTTCTGAGGGTTTCTCCACATTTGTCAACTTGACTCAGTTAGTATACGGCAATGTGTGAAAGGAATCCTAGGGTTTCTGAAAAAAATAAGTGGAAAGATTAATTGTGCGGATATGTATTTAGTTGTGACAGATAAATTTATGGGGCAATGTGATTCGTCGAGTCCATCAGAGGCGAGCAACAACGGCCGTAGGGGATTGGTGGAGGCTGCCGCAGGTTTTTATATATATATATAAGAGGAAAAAATTAAAATAAAAGGAATTGAGGAAAATGGAGAAGGGGTAAATGCAGTGTAGTTTTGGATCTTATCCCCAGTGGGCACCGGTAGTCAGGCCAGTTCTTTTCGCTCACTTCTTTATTTTATTTTATTTTATTTTATTTATTTGTTTGTTTTTGTCTCGCGTTAAACTTACTATTTTATTCTTTGTCATATTTCGGTTTTGTATTTCGCTTTTTGCATCACATTTGATTTTACTGATTGCTAGATTGTGACTGCTCGGGAAATTTTAATTTCGTAATTATATGTGCCAAACAAACATCTAAGCCATAATTTTGTTTGCAATTCATTTCCATATTCTCTTATGCTAATTGGCATTGATGGTTGGGATTAGAGAATTTCAAACTAGGAACATGTGATGAATATCAATTACAAACTTAACTGAAAAACAAAGCTTTAAAATGTACTTTGTGGATACATGAGGATTTGAATTTGAGGGAAGAACTTTGCTATTACTCTGAAAAGTGGGATTAAATTTAAGGGATTTTTTTTGTTTAGCCTCCCAAACTATGTCGATTTTTAAAGTTTGCCTTACAAATTTTTTTTCTTGACAATTTGCCTCCCATAGTAATTGAAACTAACAATTTGCCTCCTCGGTTGAAAACCCTAATATGACAGAAAAAAGTTTTTAACTCAATTAATGATAAATTTTAAATTGATCTTTAAAATTGATTTATAGGGCTGTTAAAGCCCATGGCGAGACGAACAAAATGAGATATGGTTTGTCGATTTTTGATTTGATACATCTGTAATCGATTGACGAAGATAGTAGGAGGACGTATGTATAGAAAAAATTACAATTCAAGTTTTCTGATAATCAAGGTATTGATTTTCGATTAAAATGTGTCATTTGAAAGCTTGGGAGACGAGTTTTCTAACGAAGTAAATCTAATGAAAATCCGACGGTTGGATTTTGGTTAGTAGGTTAAAAAAAAAAGCTAACTATTGATCCTGATCAAAATTCGACCGTTGAATTTTCATAAAATTTAAGCATTAGTAAATTGGTCCTCCAAGCTTTCAAATGACACATTTTAATGGAATTGGAATCCACTGAGTCAATATATGTTAATGTGTGAATGGGCTTGAAAATGTTTTTCTTGGTCTCGGAAAAAATAGAGGTATAATATCTATATGAGCTCTATATTCTGTGAACCAGGTAGGTTTATGTGTATAGCATGCAAATTATTACTCTAGGATTTGGATTCATAATTACTCAAAATTTTCATACAAGTATAAAATATGTGCTTAAGTGTAGAAGTTTATGCTTTCACGAAAATTGATCGGAGTTTGATCTTGTATAAGNAAAATGAAATTTTATCTAGAAGCTCAATGATTTGATTAGAAATGCACTCAAGGAACAACTGAAATCAAGTTGAAATCAAATTGGAAATTATTCATTTGATAATCGAGTCACGCAACAAGGCATTTAATTGGAAATGGAAGGACCCTTAAAATGGATAACTGTGAACACATTTGATGCTCCTGACATGCAGTTGATTTGACATTTCATGTTAAATGAGGCTCAATAAACAATTTGGATGATGACCATTGGTGATATTAACATATTCAATGTATGCTCTTTTCCCTTTTTCCACTTGCATCCTACAAATCCTAATAATGACCTTCATATTACTGATATATATTTTGATTGATGAGAATCTCCATGCTGTTAATTCTTCCTGCCTCTACTTTAAATCGAGTGATTTAGTGAAGAAAGCTACCTTGGTCCCTAATGAACATGTTGTGAAAGAATTTCCTCGACTAATATTCAAGATTTGAGTATTAAGTAATTGTCTAACTATAAGAAACTGTCTCCAGATTAGTTATTAATAATTATTACATTAGTGATACGAATTCCAAGAAGCATCGTTATAAAGTATCACAAAATCCATATCTAGATATTAGGCATTATCTTGTCCCCATTATAGCCGATCCTCGTTTTTTTAAAGATAATAGACGACTGCTAATTGCCGTGTTGTCTTCTACACATAATTGACTATTTGCTTGTGCTTTGTTGTTTGATACCGTTTATTATGGTAATTTTGTTTATTGAAAGTCAGTAATTTTGTAAAATTTGCTATTTGTTGTAGTTGACTCTGTATAAGGGTTGATTTATTTCTTGTTAGACAATTTTACTCTGTTTACTTGCAAATTCAAATTGATTTTACCATTTCCTCAGATAAGTTGCTTTAAAATTTATGAGCTTATACTGCTTTGGCTAATGGCTACAGGTGCTGTAAGGGAGCCATTGTAAGCGCTTGTGCACTATAAGCCAAAAACATTGTTTACCCGAAAACGAGCACGAAATGAAAGAAAAACTGAAACCAACGAGGGGAGGTATGGAGCTTCTCTTTCCTCCTTCGGCTGTTATTCTATGACTTTATGAAAGGTCCAAGTTCTTTGTTTCATCAACCGTCTCTAATCATGTTGAGCATTTAAAAATTAAAAACTGCTAATGATTGGATGACTAAAATACAAAAGTATTAAAATTTATGGACAATGCATATATATTTTTCTAATTAGCAGAAGAGGAGGTTACAATAGCAATTGAAAATGTCCTGTCAGTTTTTGTAGCCGTGATGCTGACGTTCCCAAGCCTGTGTTTGTTGATGATTTTTCTGAAACTAAATTGACTTTGTTCATTCTTGTTTTAGCTGAATTTAGTTCAAATAGTTATATTGGTCAAAGGATGATTTTGGACTCACAAAGGCTGAGAACGTAATCTAATTAACCCACTATACGTCGTATCACGACATAATTGATGGGAGTGAAACTTGGTAGGTAAAATAATGAGAATACTATCTGAGATAATTCATGTAGGAAGTTGGATCTAAATTGAAATCATCATCTCATAATTGTTTCATAATTTTTCTTGTTGCTAACTATGGTATGCCAATCCTTCTCAGATTCTACTAAAATATGAGTTTGCATGAAATGAGATTCCAGGTATTATCACTATGCTCTTTTAATTGTTGGTTTAAAGGTATGAGATGTAATAATAACTTGAAAATCTTAATACCTTGAGGATTAATAGACTACATGATCATTAGAACTAGAAATTTTACGGTGATGACCCCTAGCACGGATTAGTCAAGTGATGAGATGCTGTAGCAAGAGCACAAATCGACTTTTGATTACTATTCTAGCTGGCCTTCCATAAATCATCTGGCACAATAAGATAATGAAGAGAGAGAAACAGAGAGAGATAGAGAGAGTGAGAGAGACTAGTTTTGCCAAAATTCTAAAAGAATTTATAAAAAAAAACCCCACTGTTGCCAGCTATTTATAACATCCAGCACCCCCTGCATTCTATACTTAGGCCCCAGGAAAAAAGAAGAAAAAGTCAATAGCATGATTTTCCATACCCACTCTCTCTCCACTCCCATCTTTTTCTTCAAACTATAACCTGGAAAAAATATTTTAAGCTGCTAAACTAAAACATTGGCCCANAAAAAAAAAAAAATGAGGGGAAAATCTTCTTCATCAAAGTCCAGAATTGTTGGGCTAGGGCCCGGAATGCAGAAAGAGCCTCATGTGTCGGACGCTTGCATGCGCGACCTTGTCAAACAGCTATCCTCTGCAAGAACCAAACACTCCTCAAGTTTCGACAGCAATGGAAATGTAGATGGAGGAAGAACTGCATTTTCTGACCAAAAACCTGGAAATTCCAATCAAGTCCTTCAGCAGCAACATAAAAAAGCCAGACGAAGGCTCCACACCAGCCGACCTTACCAAGAAAAGATGCTAAACATGGCCGAGGCCCGCCGTGAAATCGTCACTGCCCTTAAGTTTCATCGGGCTGCCATGAAGCAGGCCCACGACAAACAGCAGCAGCAAAAATCGGGCCAGGGGCCCGAAGTCCTGCCTTTTGGGCCCACACCCCATCATCTCTCTTTAGAAGAGGAAGAAAATAATTTGAAACATGCTTCGAATTCTTCCTTTTATAATAATCATAGCCCGACTAATTACAACTATCCAGAAAATTTCTCATACTCTTGTCCTGTGCCTGTCCTAGAAAACCTCGACTTTGCACTTCCCAGTCAGACCCTCGGCCTAAACCTCAATCTTCAAGATTTCAACTATCTTTGCACTGCAAATCCTTCATCAATTTACTCGTTATCTTCTGCATCAACCTCTTCCTCTCCTTGCTCAGCTGCCATTGAGAAAATTCCATCTGCTGATGTGGCGGAACTCGGTGATTCTGGGCTGCATCATAAGATGGACGATAAGGTGTTGGCTGAGATGAGATCGATTGGGGAGCAGTATCAGATGGAGTGGAATGACACTTTGAGCCTTGTGAACTCTGTTTGGTGGTTCGAGTTTTTGAAGTCAATGGAGGTGTCAACAGAGGGCAAAAAGGGGAAGGATTTCGTGAACTGTGTGTTTGAGGAAGCTGTGGAGTTCCCTGCTTGGCTGAACACGACTGAGTCGCATGTGGACGAGACGTGCTCAGGGAATTACTTTGAAGATTCTGCTTTGCCGTGGTATGAAGTAGTTTGAGAAATTGATACTTTTACCTTGTTATTTGGTTAGGAGATGCTTTCATGTGGTTCTTAAAGTGATTCTCCTTTTTGTGGTTCTTGGAGTAGATGCAATATTTTGGTTTTTTTTTCAAGGGATAAATATGCTAATGATCTGATTTTGGTGGATTTAGAGTAACATGCATGGGAATAGATTTTCTGTTTCAAAATCATGATTTGATTCATGTTTCCGATTTTGGGGTATTTATAGTAACATGAATGGGAAAATATTTTCTGTTTCAAAATCATGATTTGATTCATGTTTCGATCTGGAAAAAAATGCTACAAGTACATAATAAATATACATAGAGGTGTACATAAACATAACACTTACATGGAGTGTGGTCTACTTGATCTTTCATTTTTGGTCGGTCTCACTCAATGTGAGTGTTATGTACACCCATATGTACACTATTAGTACCTATAGCATTTCTCTTCATTCTGTTGGGTGATGGTCCACATGGACACGTGTCATTCATCCAATGCAGTGAGACATGCATACAAGTTCCAAAACCACAAAAGATTTCTCAAGTCCGATGATGTCGTTTTAGGCTTATCATTTAATGTTCTCTTACATAGTGGAAAAATATGAGACAAGATTGTGACTTGGACTTTTTTCCCCAGAATTTCGAACTTCTCTTTTGTTCTAAAAGGAAAAAAATAATAATAACTACGAAAAACATAGTGATAATTTTTGTAATTAGCACTTAATTAAAGTTTGAAACATACCATTGAATTGTTTGCTTGCATTTTCTCTTTACCCGTAATAATCTCTTAGCCTCGGAGTTCTTGGTGATGTAATTCTTTCCCATGCAAGCTATGAAAGATAATTATTAACAAATAGCTACTACTTAGGCGAGTATCTCATATCATGTTATCTATCACATTTCAATAACAGAGGATTTATTTAATTTCTTTCTTTCTTGTAATCTGTTTGGAATTCTTTTTTGCAGCATGGACATAGAAGAAATCGATGGTATGGACGGTGACTGGTTAGCCTGAGATTAATTGGTCTCTTTCTCATAATAATAAAATCGCTGTTGGCTTTCCCTTGTACGGTACAACCTCCTGGGCATTTTTCTTATGGTACTTCTTTTGTGTTCTCCAAATAATACTTGTCTGTACTTGTAATGAACAGGCGAACTCTTAAATCAAGTATCAATCGAGTGGGAAATTATTTTATTCTTCCCATTTTTCTTATGGTACTTCTAGCGTTCTTTTGTGTTCTCCAAATAATACTTGTCTGTACTTGTAATGAACAGTCGAACTCTTAAATCAAGTATCAATCGAGTGGGAAATTATTTTATTCTTCCCATATTCATAGATCGAAACGTTCAAAGATTAAAATTTTTGTCCTTTTATTCTCTTACGTCATTTATCATATCAAATTGCACAATTATTGAAGATAGTCATGATATCTGTTTATGGAGGGTGTGAATTTTATTAAAAATATGTGATGAGTTGAGGACTGGTTCATATCTCTTTCTAGCTGAATTAGACACGGTCATTTTCCAGTTTCGGGCCGGTTCTAGGTCGGAACCTTTGTTTTTGGTTCACGTTATTTGTGAACCTGAACTGGTCCGATAATATATACGGGTCTTCGTAGTTTAGGAACCGTCCTGCCGAAAATATAAAAAATAAAAGAAAATAAAAATAAATAAAAATTCAAATTTTATATTAAAATTCAGTGTCGAGCCGCCGGTTCTGATTTCAGTTCGGAACCGGAACCAAATGTTAAATTTTTAAAATGGTTGAACCAAAATAAATCCGGATAAAACTACTGGCGGGTTCAAGGCCTGTGGTCAATGGGACTGACTGTGACCACCTCTAATCTGAAGGATCCAAACCTTAGGCATATATCCCGTTAGATATTGGAAACAAGGCGAATGACATCATCAATGACCAAATTGAGATTGTCAAGCTTCCTCTTGAGCATAGGCAGAGCAATTTCATATTTTCATCCACATACTTAAAAAACTTTCTTCAAGTGTTGCTCAGGTTAAAGCCATCTCCCTCTTGAGCAAGCTAGGTACCGATGAGAGGCTCATAAGATTTAGGTGCTTTAGCCTGTTGAGCATGAACTTCATCATGTCTATGTATTTAGACATATATATGTATTTAAAACCCTCATTTCTCTGTTTGCTCTGTAACTTTAACCACATATATATGTTTAATTTTTTCATTAGAAATGGAAAGAGTTGCTGGAGACATATAAACTGTTCAAAACCTAATGCAAACACAGCGAACACCATTTAGCTATAAAGCCTTGAGCCAAAAATCTTACTCCAAATTCGCAACATGGAAGGCAACATATGCAACGATCGATTTGAGGAAGGGGAAAAATGTATTTAGATAATTAAAAAAAAAAAAATCATTGAAATACATTCTCAACATAAACAAATGTTTATAGTGTTACTTGTCAACAAAGTCCAGAGTAACCAAATTTCTTCACACTTGATCATAATATAATCTTATCCCCTATAAATCCTGCAGATAGATCCAAACCAATCAATCCAAAATCATACACTAGAGCCCCTCCTCCTTAGGATACCTGTCCACGCAGTCGAGCCATGGGTTCCTATCCGGCCTAGGGACCCTACGCAGTGACTTCCAAACAATACTATTGCACTTAAATCCCGACCCAAAGGCGAGCTGCCAAACGCGGTCCCCACGCCGGACTCGACCCTTGGCCTCAAGATAAGCCAGCTCGTACCATATGCTGCTGCTCGAGGTGTTGCCGAACCTGTGGAGCGTGGCTCGTGAGGCCTCGAGGTTTTGGTCGCTGAGCTTGAGGTTGCGCTGGAGCTCGTCGAGGGCCGTCTTGCTGGCGGCGTGCACGCAGAAGTGCTCGAACGCGAGCTTGTAGTCAGGGATGTAGGGTTTTGTGGGCTGGGACCCGGCCGAGCCCGAGACTAGCTTCCAGACGAGGGTCGAGAAGAAGAGGAGTTGTTCGGATAAGGGGAGAACGAGTGGGCCTAGGGTTGTGATGTTGGTCTTGATTGCGTCACCACCGACCTCGACTACGTCCTTGCTCACCTTTATGCCCTTGTGTCGATCCTGGTCTTCATCTTGGTAGATGCTCCTTTTTTTTTA